CCTCATTCTACTTTTTTAAGTATACAAACACAAGACTTATTTTTATTCTGTGATCAATTTACTCTTTCTACAAATAAAGTAATTGAATGAATTACTAACTCTACCCTGAGTCACTGTGTTGTTACCCGTGAATTGCTCAAGAACATTTCAGTATCTCTTTCCCCATTTCTTAAGCAGGGATAGCAATATTGATTTTCTTAATTTGTGGGGGATTGGGAAGATTAACAGATGTTACTGTTTATATGATGCTTTCATATAAAGAACTATACAAGTGTTTAATATTAATATTACTGACCATATCACCTCCTTAGACAGTCCCATTTATTAAGGCAAAATCCTCTTCCAGATTTTCTTTTTCTGATTTTTCTTCTCTACTTCTTGCAATAGAAAGTTATTCTTTCTATAGTGTATCTATTAATCAAAGGTACTTCTCTCTTTAAATTTAAAATCCTCAGTAAGAAGAGCACCAATATTTGACTTTGTACCCTGTATTTTGGGCTTTGAGTCGTACAAGCCAACAATTTTTTTTAGCCAATGTGTTTAAAAGAAAATATAGATTTTTTTACTGATTTGGGACAAAAAATTCAATTACCATGTCATATCATTACTAGAACTCTTCTGTGATTAAACCCCTTAGTCATTGACCTTACTCTTGTATTTAATTTAATCTCCACCACATGAAACTATCTTCACCATTGCTGCCATTTCTTCTCTTTAAACTAACAGTGGGACTTGAAACTGGGAATTCCTGAGCTCTCATCCTAACTCTACCCTGAGTCACTGTGTTGTTACCCGTGAATTGCTCAAGAACATTTCAGTATCTCTTTCCCCATTTCTTAAGCAGGGATAGCAATATTGATTTTCTTAATTTGTGGGGGATTGGGAAGATTAACAGATGTTACTGTTTATATGATGCTTTCATATAAAGAACTATACAAGTGTTTAATATTAATATTACTGACCATATCACCTCCTTAGACAGTCCCATTTATTAAGGCAAAATCCTCTTCCAGATTTTCTTTTTCTGATTTTTCTTCTCTACTTCTTGCAATAGAAAGTTATTCTTTCTATAGTGTATCTATTAATCAAAGGTACTTCTCTCTTTAAATTTAAAATCCTCAGTAAGAAGAGCACCAATATTTGACTTTGTACCCTGTATTTTGGGCTTTGAGTCGTACAAGCCAAAATTTTAAACCAGTTGTTTTCATTATACAGTAGACTTCCGATAATCCGGAACCTTTGGGACCTCAGTGGTGCCGGATTATTGGATATGCCGGACTATCAGGAGGTACTATAAAATGGTTTTATATATATATATACTGTATACATTATATACTGTATATAAAGGGTTCTTAACCCTTTTTATTGTACATACTGTATACAGTATACTGTGATGTGTTAGTTTTTTTAACCCTTTTTTACCCTTTTCACTCAGTTCAGCTGCTGCCGCTGTTGCTTTGTAACTGATTTTTTGCCAAAGCTCACTCACTAGGCTCTTGCCATTTTGATGCCGGACTATCAGGAGTGCCGTACAATTGGATGCCGGACTATTGGAGTTTTACTATAGTTTTATTTTTTAGATCAAACTCCTTGAACTCATACAGCTCTCTGTATGAGTGTTTTGTGGAGGGATGTGATATTTTCAGTTTGCCTGTGTCCTTTCTTTATAAATGATCCTGCTCCGTACTCAAATGTCAAGAAAAGAAACATAATTGTGTTTTGCTTTCACCTTCCTCATGCACCATTTGGGGGATAAGAAAAGATGAGTAGAAAATGCAGGATTTTTTCCCAAATTAAACCAATCAATTATAAGGGGATAGTTTATTTTACCATGCAAATATATAACTTAATTATAGTGAGGGCACATGGTATTTCTGATATCTTCTGCATGCAAATGAAAAACAAGGTTCTTAATCAAGTCCTCACCCAAAGCTTTGCATCTGTTTCTGTAATAAATGAGGATTTAAAATGCGAATGCGCAGCAAATATCAAGCCTACATTTTTCAGCACTTGAGAATTTACTGACTTAAAGAAGCCAATACATTTCTGTTTCAATTTCCTATTTCAGTTTCCTTTTCTTATCCCATGGCAATAATGGCTTTTCGTGAAAGAAAGTTGGCAACCTCCCAAACTTTCTATTTAGTGAGTTATGGTCAGGCATGGTGTTTCGTCTGTTAGTTCAAGGACAGGACGATATGGACTCTGAAATAAAAACAGGAGGAACTGGTTTATGCACCTTTATTTGGTTTACTGAATAGGCAAAATCAAGCTCCTTTTGAAAGGGAGAACCACAGCTGTCTTCCTAACTAACTGTTGTATAAGCATTTCAGTGGGGCCACTTGCTTATTGTACCTGCACTAGAAAAAGGGAGGGATGCATATCTCCTTTGTATTTCAGTGAATGAATGAGTAGCTATAAATGTTAGGCAGATGACAAGCTAATATAAAACAACCTGCTTTTAACAAGGATTTTGGCACACCAAATGTATTAGGCAAATAAAATTGTCAAAAATTTACTGCTTAATGCTTATTTGTAAGGGACTGAAAAGAACTGTTTTTCCATATCAAACACCTGAGGTATGTCTTAAGCTTCAATTAAAAAACAGAACAAAACAGAGAATCTGACCCCAGGTTGATTGACTTTTGGAGTCTGGGATGTGAGATGAAATATTGCTATTTTTAGCCACAAGAGCCCAGCTCCACAATCTTGAGTCACTTGACCTGGGCCCTGAGACTCAGTGCTTGAAGTTCTTTTATTACAGCATAGAACTAGTACCTCATATTTATGTATATTTTCTACTATGAACTTCAAACCCATTATGCATAACAATGCCCACTTCAAGTGACTATATTATGCATTGCCCCTGATGCTTAATAGTGTGTCTTAACTTATAGTTAGTTCAAACACTCTGATATTCTTCCCCAGACATGAAGTCGAACTCTGTGTAACTCAGGAACTTGTGCCTTCCACCAACAGAAAATGGTTCAATACAAGATATGTTACCTGCTTTCTGTCTCGTATCCTGGGACTAACACAGCTATACTAACACTGCAAATATTTTCTATTTTGCTATTCAGTTTTTATTCATATCCTGTTGTTGTGTATTTTGACATTCTTTCAGGGTAAATCTGAATGTAAAAATTAATTTTGTCCCCAAACTTTTCAGTTTTCCTTTTTTTTAAATCAGAGCATATTGCAGAAAGCTGATTACTAAGATTAAATATGTCATCTTCATTTAGACTGTAAGCCACCCAGCAGTTCAAATCCATCTTCTAACAGTCAAACTTTCTGAGGAAGACTTAGGACATCAAGACCGAGACATCAAGTAGACCTAGTTGAATCTTAGAAAATAGCGTTCACAAACATTTGTTCAAATTTCACATGGCTGATCAGTTTAGACTTCTTTGTGGTTTTAACTTAGCTATGAATATTCATACAAACAGGCTTCTGTTCTTACTAATGTTTGAGAAATAGCTGTTTTTGTACATTTGTCTCTAGTCACATACAATCGAGGCTATTTGTTCATTAGCATCTGTGTTCCTATTTAAAAAGTTGGTCTCTTCCCTTTGAGTGAATGACAATGCCACATAGAATCATAGGACCAGTCATAGAATCATAGAACTGGAAAGAACCACAAGAAGTCCTCAAGTCCAGTCCCACAAACTCATGGCAGGATCAACTACCATCTAGATCAAGGGTCAGTAATCTTTTCAAGCCAAAGAGCCAAACTACATCAAAATTCAGAACACGTGGGCAACAAAGCCATATAAGAATGCCCATTTGCATGACAACTTAATATTATTGATAATAGACATGATTAATAATAGCATAAATGAAACATTGCACTCACAGATTTTATTTAATGGGACTTCTGCTGCTACATCTTTTTGCACATTTCTTTGAAGTTTACATCCTAACTGGTCAAATCCAGCTTCATGTGCACATTCAGGCTGTCTTCTGTCAATCTTACGGCAGGGGGCTGGGGATGTTCAGGTACAGGATACTGGGTTGGGGTGTATGAAGAGCTCAGGTCAGGGAGTTTGGGTGTATAGTGGTCTCAGGGCACAGGGTTGGGTGTGTGGGGATGCAGGAATGTTATAGCAGGGGATTGGGGCTGTGGGGGTGCAGGAGTTTGGGGATGTACAAGTATGAGGGGGTCAGGGCAGGGGATTCAGGTGTATGATGGGCTCAGGTTTGGGATGTAGGAGGGTGCAGGAATATTATGATGCTGTGGTCAGTTGGTCCCCAACTGGGGGCTTGTTGGCCAGGCTTCCTTTTCATGAACACATAAGGTTTTAACATTGTCTTTATTAATGTCAGGGGTGGGGAAGCTTTTTGGCTTGGGGGTCACTGACCCATTGAAAAATCAGTCGGTGAAGAGAGGGGCAGGGAGCAAGGGATGCTGAGCTCAAGCTGCAAAAGAGCCATAGATTGCTGACCCCGATCTAGATCATCTCTGACAGATGTTTGTCAAACCTGTGCTTAAAAACCATAAACTATAAATGATGAGTTGTTGATGTGAGCAGTTCTGAAATTTATTCACATAAACAGTTTAACAGTTCTGAATAGTAAATTAACTTATAAGAATGCAAATATGACTGAGTTACAACAAAAAAGATCTGAATTCATCAGATTATTTGCCTTGAGCAGTTTAACCAGCTATAGTGTCACTTACGCAACCAGAGAAAATCATTTAACACCTTTGACCCTCTATTTCCACCTCTTTAAATAATGTGTTTATTACTTACCTACCTTGCAGAGAGACTGTGGGCTTTGATCATTCTCATTGCTGAAGTGGTTGGAAGGAAAGGGCTCTGAAAGGTCAGCTATTAAAGACTCACGATCTATTGGGATAGTTCATCAATTCCTGACCTGCCCTGACTTTGCTGTGTTCAAGAATTGAGTGAATCAAAGCAGGTTGCAAATGTTTTGGCTCAGTATTCTGTATCTTGGCTGTTTGTTTAAATTATGTTGTGTGAGCTGTTCTTTTTTTCTTTCAGAATTATGGTCTGGAGACTGAAAACCTGAGAACGCTCTCTCACAAGTTGAATGCCTCAGCCAAAAATCTTCAGAACTTTATAACGGGTAGAAGGAGGAGTGGCCATTATGATGGCAGGGCCTCCAGAAGACTGCCAAATGATTTTCTTACCTCTGTTGTTGACCTGATTGGTGCTGCCAAGAACTTGCTTGCCTGGCTGGACAGGTAATTTAGAGCTTTTTAATTCTTACCAGGAGGAGTAATTCTTCTGCTCTGTTTCTTTTTCTCTTTTTCTAAAATTAGAATTATAATTATAGGTTTTACCCTGTACATTTTAGTAAATACTTGAATTCTAAGTTGAAAAGCCCTAGGCCTGGGGCTGGCTATTAGATATTGGACTCTCTTTTGGGTCAGCTAAGCTTGATGATGACTTCTGTGAAATTAGCAATTTCAGTTTTGTTCCTAGTGAATAAACATACATGCCACAAAAATTGCCACTACAGATGGCAGGTTCATTTAAATTTCAGAAGGGAGGCAGTGATATACATTAAAAAAGAAACTGAACTGCCCTATATCCAGAGCAAAGAGTGGTTCTGACCATTCAGGGTGGAAGCAAGTTAAGATAGCAGTGCAGGGAAGTTTGAATTGCTGTTATCTGTTATCTTGGATAATTTACACAAGAAATTATACCACTCACTTATCTCTGGAAAGTCAGTGCTTACTCATTGATTTGTTGTTAACAGTAAGGGACAAGTTTATACATTAGTCACTCTTGTTGTGTCAGTTACTGCTTGGTGAAAGAATGCTATGATTTCTTATGATGAATTAGGAATCAGTTTACAATGTAACTCTCTGCGTGAACTATGTTACAATATTGATTTATGTGTGGGACACTATTTTATGTATATACTTGCATTTCTCTTGATCTATGAAAATAAAATCTATAAAAGTGATCTATAAAACCGAAAGCTTCATTTGAAATCTGAAACTCTTATGCATATAAAGGGACAACATGAAAATTCTTCACAAAGTTTATGACCCTGATGACATTCTCTGACAGAACGCCAGGAATCAGGCTCTCTTGGAATGTAATTGCATCAATCTTTATAAGCCAAAGGGGTTAGAGCTGGATAGAACTTGGATACTCCAAGGAGAGTTGGAGTCCTGCAGGCTCCATGTCCTGCCAAAAGCTGTGTTAGTGGCTCAGTAAACAGTCCTTATCCATCTTACTTTACTGAGCTGAGGCTGTAGTTTGCCCTTAAAGAGCCGTATGTACCATTTTTCAGATAATCTATAAAATGAGGACTTGATTGCTATAATTATTATATCTGCTCAGTGTTGGGGCATAGCAAACATCTTAGGTTCTAGAAGCATGTCAGGTTCATCCTGCAGTCATGCACTATTCCACTACGTAAGTTCCTCTTTTTGCACAGCCTGCTGTGTCCACAAATACCAAGTGTTTCACTCTGTATCTGGCTTTTCTGTCCCTGCTGCTTCCCAAAGTGCTCAGTTCTTCATGGTTCCCTGTCTTTTTGTGGAGTTTCTAGCCCCTTCTCTTATCTGGCCAGAAGGAAAGGAATTTGAAGTGGAAAGGGGGTTGAGCAGAACCCTAGTCTCCTGCGTAGTTGATTCATCACTTTGGTATTGCGGTTTCTTCAAAAACAGGGATGTTAACTCTAGTGTCCTGCCCAAAATCCAACTTCAGATAATTTCTTTTAACTACCTACAATTATTTCAAATACATACATTATTAATTTCCCTTCCTAAAAGTTGTTCAGTATTGCAGAAGTGTAATGGCATGATTACTGTGAGATGAGTTTACCTCTACCACAGATATCTTCTAAAGGGCTCTGAGAGCCATCAGAAAGAAAAGGGAGGTGTTTTGTCAGATGCTTTATTTTGCGTACAATACAAAAAAAAAACCACAAAAAATTTGCTGACTTGGTTCAGTCTAGTTTAATCAAAGTAAAGTTACCAACCTTAACAGTCTGTTTTAAAAACTGTTTGTCCTGCTAGCAAAAAGTTCAGCATGAAGTCACATATTGTCAAATATTTCAAATTGAAATACTTAGAGAAAATACTATAATGACCTAATGTTACTGTGTCTTTAAAATGCATGGCAAGAATGCTGAGATCTTTGCATTGAAGCTTTTAGGTGTGATGTTAGATGAAATGTTAAAAAATATTGCTACTAATTGTCAGTTAGTATGTAACTATAAGATCATTATAGTGTGTGTATATGTTTATTATCATTTTTGCATTATATCTTCTTTGGTATAACATCAGTTCCAGTAGGTAAGAATAGCAATTTCAGAAGCTGTAATTATCTCTAAAATAAACAGGTTGATGACAGTACTGTTCAATATGGCAGCTGCAGTACAAGTTTGCTCACATAGAACAAAAGTCTTAATTCTCTTTAATATGCTATAATGACTGTGTAAATCTGACTGACTTTTGAAGTTTCTTTTGGAATAATTCTGTGTTGTACCATGTCAAATTATTAATATTGCAGCTTCTCAAATGCATTATTTAATGTGTTGTTGACTGTAGATATACATTAAAACAGGTAGAGTCCAGTAACACAGAGATTTATAAGGTCTCCAACAAACTTGTTGTCCCTCTCTGGCAGGTCTCCATTTGTTAGTGTGACAGAATATTCACTGCTGAAAAACAATATTGTTCAACTGTGCCTGGAATTAACAACCATTGTGCAACAGGTAAGAATGGGTTTATTGTGTACCATACCTGAATCAGCAATGGGGAAGTGAAGAAATTGTAAAATATTCCAAACAACTGTTAGAAATTTGTCACTTCATCAGGAGCATTTGTGTGCCTTTTGGAGGCTGATGGGAGGAGGTCTGCATGTGTAATATCTCAGCTGCAAACACAGTAATTATTTTTTAGTACTATTATGAATTATTTTTTTTTAATATTTTAAATTCCTTTCAAAGATGTTAATGGGTTTTCTTTCCAAAAAGTTTAAAAAAGATAATTATTGCAATATCTACAGTTGATCCTTACTCACTTTATTTTACCCCTTTCCTCCCCTACCATATTCTATTTCCCGCCTCCCCCAATTTCCAGCATATGATTCTTCGTTGTGTGCTTTCCTTTTCCCACAACCATTGCCTGGCATTTAGTTCTTGCTTACCAATGTGATGTATATTAGACTTGAAGTTTTTTATCATAAATCAGTCTGATGGCCACCCAGGCCCTAATAATTTTGTTGTTGTTCTCCAAAGTGCTTGAAATTAGTCAATATATTTCTGATAAGAAAATGTCTAGAATTTAACACAAAATATTCCCTGGCTCACTGCTAATTGTTGCCAAAGATGAACTGAATGTATATGCATAGGAGAATTGAACAAATAAAGTAGAAATATATCTACTATATATTTTAGAGCGTTTGCCCATTTGTCTGTTTCACCAAGAACTCCTCCTAAACTGTAAGGGTATGTCTACACTACATGGCTGCCGCGCTGAGCTAATCAGCTGTTTGTTGGATCAGCACGCTAGTCTGGACACTCCGCGGTCGACATCAAAGCCCTTTGTTGACCTCCCTGGTAAACCTCATCCCACGAGGAATAATGGGGCGGTCGACAAAGGGCTTTGATGTCAACCGTGGAGTGTCCAGACTAGCACGCTGAGCCAACAAAGCTGTTTGTCGGCTCAGCGCGGCAGCCATTTAAATTTAAATGAAGTGGTGATTATTTAAATCGCCGCTACATTTCCCTTTGCCCAATAAACAAATCTACATTGCTCCGACGATGGAGCCATGTAGTCTAGACATACCCATAGTGAATAATAAGTGTTTTTAGGAATGAAGAAAAAATACACGATGGAATTCCCATTTAAAAATAATTACTAAAAAAGTTAAACTGACAAATTTTAACAATCCCTTGTTTAAGAAATCCAAAATAAAAATTAACTTAATAAAAATAACACTATATCCTATTTTTGAAAAAAATACAGTCATTTAAATAAAGCAGGTATATTTTCCTTTTATTTTCCAAAAATTCCCCAACCCCTTAATTGAATTAAGGATCTGAGCAAAGCCCAGTAAATCTGCTAGTGTTATAAGTCATTGTAAATAAAATCTGCCAATTTACTTCATTGATATTCATGGCCCTGTCATTTGCAATTTGAAGTATTACTGTGAACAAGACTAAAATTCCAAGAATGTTCATAGAAAGTGAAAGCTTCATAATTACTGATGCAGTATCACAAGAACAAGCAGAGAGCATGGATAATAAAGGAGGATGGAGACTTTACTTTGTCCATACTTGGTTGGACAGGACAAAGCAGCTGCAGAAAATTGTATATAGTTAGAAGATGAATGTCCTGATCTGGCAAATGCAAGAGATTGTCACTTGGAGACTAGCAGTTCAGAAGTGTGTAATCTAAACTGAATAATATCTGCAGAACGGGTATATTTCTGATGGAAATCTAGAGATTTTAGAAAGGGCCTCATGTTATCTTAATCTTTGACATTTATTTAATAAAAATGCACTATTGGCTTTCCTTAACATTAAAATCTATTAAATAAGCAAGAACAGATTGAGATTTTTTTTAAAAAATAAAACCACACAAGGAAGTCATCTGACTGGGTGATATAATAGCTTTTCAGAAACACAGATAAAATTTATTGGTACCTGGTTGATATAACCTAGAATGTCACAGATAGATACAGAAAAGATAGCTTATTTGTATAAAAGGTGAGTTCCACAGTCATTCTGGAAGTGGAGAGCAGCAGTCATTATTTAAGCTTAGAAAACATGTGGATTGTGATTTTGTGCCTTGTTTCATAGAATCTCAGAATCATAGGGCTGGAAGAGACCTCAGAAGGTCATCAATCTAGCCCCCTGCCCAAGGCAGGACCAATCCCAACTAAATCAACCCACCCAGGGCTTTGTCAAGCCGAGACTTAAACACCTCTAGGGATGGAGATTCCACCACCTCCCTAGGTAACCCATTCCAGTGCTTCATTCCATGGGAAGCATGTTTGCAATTCAAAGATTGTATTTTGATATGAAAATAAGTGGTACCCTTTTGATATACAAGTGCAACAAGAAACACTGAAGCTCTAGAGCAGTTGTCCCCATGCTCTTTACCTCACATTTCTCCTTATCCCTGTTGGCAGCCCTCCTTGTCCAGAGCCAGGAGTAGGAACATGATTCCAGGAGAGTGGGATGTGGATGGGGGTAATGGGGCTGAGGCTAGGGCTGCAACTGGGGCCAGGAGTGGATCCAAGAACAGGTTCCCAGGCAGGGAGCAGGCAAATTGGGCCAGGAGTGGAGCTGGGCAGTGCTCTTTCCCAACCCCTTCTGGTCCAGACCTCAGCTGTGCCGTTCCAAATGTTCCTCTGAACCCCTAGACTGAAGACCCCTGCTCTAGAGAAAAGTCTAAGTCAAAGGTGAGCAATAATTTTTGAGAAAATTTTTAAGTTGCCTCGGGCCACCCTGGAAGGGGCAGGTCTTCAGGCAGATGGGACGGGACTAGAACACCCATGCTTCCCCACCCACAGACCCTGATTAGTGTGGGGATGGGAGGAGCATGTAAAGTGTCCCCCACCTCTGAGAATTGCCAGCTGTTCAGAACAGTTAACAGTTCCCTCTAGGTACCAGTGCCTCTGGCAGTGGGAGGAGACTTCATGTGCTCCCCTATGCTTCCCCCAGGTCAATCAGGGCCTGGGGAGGGGGAAGCATGTGAACTCTCTCACTCCCTGCTCCCATCCTGCAAGGGAGTCAACCGCCAACTGAGTAGCTGCTGGAAGTTGACTTTAAGTGCTGAGCCCTTTGAAGGGCAGGTGGAGACTTTGCACACTTCCCCCTCCCCCAAACCCTGATTGGCCTGGGGGTGGAGGGAGTGTGAAAAGTCTCCTCCCACCCTGCCCCTGTCCTGAAAGAAGTGTGCGACGCTTAGAAGCACCCCACCTCTTGCAGGGCATGAGGAAACTTTGTGCGTTCCTCTTGCCCCCAGGCCAATCAGGGTCTGGGGGCAGGGGAAAGATGATTTCAGCTATTTAAATCTGAAATTTCATGGTGTTAATTGTTGGGGTTCTGACCTAAAAAGGAGTTGGGAGGTTGTCACAAAGTTATTGTGGGGGGTGTTGCAGTACAGCTATCCTTACTTCTGCTGTGCTGTGAATGGCAGTGCTGGCTTCAGAGATGAGTAGCTGGAGAGGAGTGGTTGCTGGCTGGGACCCCAGCTCCGAAGGCAGAGCCACCTCCACTACCAACAGCGCAGAAATGAAGATGTGATAATATGGTACTGTCGCTCTCTGGCTGCTCAGCTCTGAAGGCAGAAGTATTGTGGCATGCTATGCCTTTTTTTCTGTTCTGCTGGCAGGGTGCTGCTTTCAGAGCTAGGCACCTAGCCATTTGCCATGGCCTCCCAGCTGATCAACTCTGAAGGCAGTATAGAAGTAAGGGCAGCAATATCACAATCCCCGTAAAGTAACCTTGAATCCTCCATGCAATTCCCTTTTTAGGTAGGATCCTCAATTTGAGAAACAATGGTCTGTTCCATGAAATCTGTATAGGCAAATAGCACGCAAAAGACCATATTTCACTGGGGCTATGACTACACTATATTTCTTTTGGAAAAAGGTGAGCAGATTGTGACCCGCAATTTGCGTACCTTTTTCCGATTCTTTTTTCGGAAGAGGCTTTTCCAACATTTAGCGCATTTACATGGGGCCAAATGTAGAAAAACCTCCTCTTTCAGAAAAGCCCTTATTCCTCATAAAATGAGGAATACAGGGCTTTTGAAAGAACGCGTCCACTTTTTTGGAAACTGATCTAAAAAATGGACGCATTCCCTGGATGCGGCAGAGTTTTTCTACGATACCAGAGGTTTCCTGGAAAAACTCTGTAATGTAGCCATAGCCTCAGGGAGACCAGATTTCACAGTTCTCAACTTATTTTTTCATTACCATTAATTTGGTGGAGTCGTATCAATAAGCCATACATTCTTTTTTAGAGTCACTGTTTTCCAGGATATAGCCCATATTCTTTGTTCTGAGATGCATGACCTTGCCTTTGGCTCTCTTAATGGATGCTACTTGATTGTTTCAAGCGTGTGAAGGGTCTACTCTGGAGCATTCTATCAGCTGTCTGTTCTTATCATTATTTATCACTCATCCAATTGTTATGTCATCTACACACTTTATCACCATAATTGCACATTTCTTCAAGGTTATTGAAAAAAACTGAATAGTATTTGGCTGAGCATCAGTCCCTGTGGTGCTTTGTGAGAAACCCCACCACTTGCTCAAAAATCCCCATTAATAATCACTTTGTGAGATTAAAAAAATTGTTCTAAGCACATCTACTTATAGATTCAAGACTAAATCTAATTCTTCAGTATTTTACTCAATTAGAATGGTGAAGGCTTAGGGTACTCTGTCAAGGACATTCTGGATGATGCAAGAGGTGGGTGATATCTTGTGTAAATGTGGATATGTAACACTGCTACTACCACTTTGTAGTTCTTGTTATTTTTACCATTTTATAAAACAGAGTTAAATGATGGGTATTCTATGGTATAAAAGCCCTACATTAAAACCCATCCACCTTTAAACGTGTCACTAGTCAGTTTTTTGGGGAGGGATAAATATGTCAAGTTTGCAATGATTTATTTCCAAAATAAATAGAGTATGTGTGTTAAACCTTACAGTTTGCTTACTGAGTTTCCCTAATGCATACTACATGTCAAA